GAGACAAATCATTGCTCGATGTTTTTGGGACAACTGACGTATCTGAAATGTATTTGATGCGTTTAGGTGAGATTAGTGCAAGTTCGAATGTTTCTGGACGCATGTTCGTTTTTTGATGACGGTACCCCGTTCTACCCCGCTACCCCGCTCTACCCCGCTTTCTCTTACATTAAACAAAAGTATCAGATTGAGTACTGCTTGTTACGTTTAATAAATGAGTTTGAGCCATAATTAAAGGACCCCGCACACATCTTATGGGATTTTGGTGCCCGGTCAAATTTGATGAAAATTTGGTATGTTGTTCTTCTTGAGGTCCTGATCAAATGTGTCCATGGGCACAAATGAATCCTATGATTAGTTTCTGAGATACAGGGTGTTTAAAAAGTTGAATAGTCGATTTAAATTATGTGCTGACCAAACTATTTCTTGGGGCTTCTACGAAAATAAGTAAGACGAAACAATATTTTTAAATAAATAAATGCTTGCACACATAATACATCTAAAAGATTTTGTATACAGGGTGTATCGTACGTTTCTATTTCAATTTTTTTGGTCTAAACATTTCTGAAATACTTACCAGTTAGATGATTATAAAAAACTTAAATATTTGGCTCTCCCAGAACAGCACTCTGAAATACGGACCACCCGTGCAGCAGAATATGGCAAATTCTCAAATGCTGCTCGCTTCAATGATAAAAGCTGAGAGCCGTAAAGGCTGAAAAGGTGCTACATGGACTTTGAAATAAATTCTAGGTATGACTTAATAATCTATGAAATAAAAAGAATCACATTTATAAATGGTATAGCATATTTTCTTGTCAGCTGCTACAAAATATTATTAAAACAGAAAAAAAAACATAAGAGGCCCCAGGTCTGTACACACTAAAACTAAGGCGTTCTATTTTGACCTGGAGAAGTCACTTTAACCAGTAATCCGAATTTGGAAGGCAAACGCGGATCAAAGTTAAAACAACGACATTCCTCAGGTCAGAAAATATTTAACTAAACTACTTGATACAGTCATAAGGCCAATGGGGCCTTATGACTGCCTAGCAGATCTACCGACCAACCGTGCAGCAGAATATGGCAAATGCTGCACGCTTCAACAATAAAAGCAGAGAGCCGTAGAGGCTGAAAAGCTGCTATGCCATGGACTTGGAAATGAATTCCAGGCATGACTTAATAATCAATGAAATTAAAAAAAATCACAGATATAAATAGTTTAGCATATTTTCTTGCCAACTGCTACAAAATATCATTTAAACAGAAAAAAACATAAGAGGTCCAGGTCTTTACACACTAAAACTAAGGCTTTTTTGACCTGGAGAAGTTACTAGAACCAGTAATCTGAATCTGAAAGGCAAATGCGGATTGAAGTTAAAACAACTACATTCTTCAGGTCAGAAAGTATTTAACTAAACTACTTGATACAGTCATAAGGCCAATGAGGCCGACCACTAAATATTTAAATGCGAAAAAGCAAATATCAATGTAATAAAATAAGTTATCACACAAAATGTCACTTAAGTAAAGTAATATCAAAGTCCGGTAGCTCTCGGCCGTAGAGTAGACCGCCAGATCAACAGAAGTCTGGGGTAACGACAACGGTGTAAAGTATAGAAACAACTGAGTCATACATTATTGAAGAAATGAAGTAGTGGGTAAGTTGGGGTTGTCCAATCACTGTTAGTGGACAATGTCTGGCAAATCATTTACATCTGCTGCTCCAGCATCCTTAATTTTCCTAAACATATCTCCGCTTGGAAAATTAATAACCGGTTGATGGCGACCATAGCTTAGAAAACATACTACAGTAGCAACGTGACAGCACATTCCAACTTTACTCTGGCACCAGATCGACATGAACAATAATATCCCAATATTAAATTCCTTTCTGTGTCGTAATTGATGAAAAGCTGATACTTAACAGAATTCCTGTGCCGTAACAAATTAGCATCGTTTAATTTCGTATCGTATTCAAAACAATGATTCCCATCATTTTGGTTATTGTCTTGGATGTATGATGGGGCTAAACGCAAATGAAAAACTCCGAAAGTTAGATGTTGAAGTTCTTCTATGGGTAATATTGGAAAATCGAGCTGAACTTCAGTAAGAGGTTCCCATATTCCATGCCTCCGAAGTAATCCTTCTCTTTCCAGTCTTTCCTGCAATATGTTGCGTTGTTGTGACTTCAATAACATTTCACGGGCCAAATTCTCTGTCGCTTCTTCCATAACAATTGAGGGATGATATTTGTTTATTAAAGCACATGCTATCCTGATGTAATCGCGAATGTGTGGAATACTAGTACTAGGAATTTGGTCTCTGAATATTTTGAATATTGATTTCAGATGTCCATTTTGGGATTCGACTATCCATCTACATTTTGTTATGAGCCGAGACTGATTTGCTCCAGCTGTTGTTAGCTGAGATCTTCGGCCAAGATGAGCGGGCATTTCAACTCGAATTCCAATGTCTTGTAAGAATTCCTGAGCATCTCTGTAACCACGATCAAGTACAAATATGTCTCCCTCTTGAAAATAATTCCGAAGTTGTCCAAGATCATTTTGATATTCGTGGGTTAACATTCTTGCATCGTTGTTACGAGAATTTGAAAAGTATGGCCCATGCACATCTATTATGTAACCATCTGGGGAAACAATTAAAGCCGGCTTCGCAAGAGATGATATGATTTATGTACCGAAAATGATTTCCTAAGAACCTGAAAGTTTCTACTCTTTTGAATTTTCAAGTACGTTTCGTCAATAAAAGCAATAGCTTTTGGTAGCTGAGGCTCCAGGTTATATAATTGATTAGCGAAAGGGGTCACATGTTCTCTAATGAATCGTTCGTGTGACATATGATCATATCCTGAGTTTTGATTCACAAAGGTTGCTAGAGAACTTGTAACTTTTGCAATGACGAGACTCGTTGTTTGTCTACTTAGATAGGAAAACATAGCAGTTAAAAAATTATCTGATAAACCTTGTTAAAGTTTACATAAAAAACATATAAGATCTTTTTTTATTATTACTCTTGACCTGTTATATATGACCACATTATTACAACTATCAAAAACAGCGTTGAACTGTTCTTTTGTTAATGAGGTCAAAGATTTCATCTTATCATCTGTATAATTACTTTTATCATCAAACTTGTTAAAATCATTTACGTTGTTCCGAAGTTGAGAAATGAGAGCATTTAATTCGAAACCTATAAGTGTATAAGGCCTCGTGATACCCCTGAAGCCATTTTGCAAAGGAGCTACCACCAGTTGATCAATAGTCGAATGACCGGGACATATTCTGGAACCATCAGGAATAAAAATGTCTTTTCTTACAAATACGTCTACTCTGGGCTTTTAAAGAAATACGCTGGAAAGCCTCTTGATTACAAACAATACAGTTATGACGGCGGTTAAAAAGTACCTTGAAAACAGTTGGATCGGATCGGGATCTTCAGCATAAACTTGAAGCTCTTCTAAAATACTTTGATAGCGCGTAAAACATATTCGAGAGTTATCATTCGGGTCCTCGTCCAGAAGTTGCAGTTCTTGCCTCCGTTTAACCGCCGTGTTTCTAAGCTCCTCATTTTGGACAAAAGGAATTACTTGTCGAGGAGCATAGACAGATTCACAAACATAACAATTGAATCTGAGACGAAATGCCATTTCAAATACCGTTGAGAGCACTTATTTTATTATAATTTTATATTAGTATATGTAAATCTTATATCCGTTGGAATAAATAAATAAAATATGTAAATAAAAAATTTAACAAAGAAGAAATAATTAATCGAATGCACAAAATATCAGTAACCATCAATATTCTGACTGTTGTTATCATCACCTAGCAACCAAATAATCGAATGAAATATTTGACAGCATGGCTGACTGGAATAAAGCAGAAGTTTTTTTTTTATAAATCAGAACATTTCATCAAGAACATTATGTGAGAAATGCCAAATAATAAAGTTTTTCATATGCAGTCAACTTTCGAGTATAGACACCCTGAATTTGGCAAAGTTAAATATAGCTGAAAACTGCAACGATCTTTCAAATATTCGTAATTTTGTATAAATAGAAATAGAAAAATATTCCAAAATTATTTATTACATTAAATCATTTTGAAACTACCTATTCCGAAACGGATTGAGTCAAAAAAATTGAAATAAAAACGTGTGATACACCCTGTATACAAAATCGTTTAAATTATTATGTGTGGATGAAGCATTTATTTATGTAAAAGTATTGTTTCGCCTTAATCATTTTTTGCAAAGCCTCAAAAAATAGTTTGGTTAGCACATAATTTAAATCGACTATTCAACTTTTTAAACACCCTGTATCTCAGAAACTAATCATAGGATTCATTTGTGCCCATGGACACATTTGATCAGGACCTCAAGAAGAACAACATACCAAAATTTCATCAAATTTGACCGGGCACCAAAATCCCATAAGATGTGTGCGGGGTCCTTTACTGATCTAATAATATACATATTTAGGTAGCGTGTTGTAAACTTAAGACAGATGTTAATTTGTTCTAACTATTTCTTGATAAAAAATATCATTATAAGTTCTAGCATAGTAGTGATTATGAAGGTAAATTATTAAAAAATCTTTAATTACATCAAACATAAATTTTACACTGTTCAAAATCCTTTATTTATTTTAGGCACATGACACCCAATTTTCTGTAAACGGCTTCAGTCTGCGTCAGTGAATTAATTGTAGCCAAAAATAACTTTTAGTACCTACTTTATTTTGTAATATTTGCATTTTTCCAAAATCTACTGTGCCACAAGTGCCCCACACAGGAATTAAATATCGAATACATGATGAAAAAAAGACATAATAAATATCCATTTCACCTTCACCTGTTAAATTATTTCTGCATCTATATACATACAGCTCCTACCATAGGTCTAGTTTTATTCCTTATACATATTATAATAATGCTCTTTCGAATTTAGATTTTCATCAAAAATTAGGCTGAAATATTTTACATTCGACACTTTGTCCATTTCGACGTTGTTTGGTTTAATTTCTGGGCATTAAATTAATTAATTTTTTTGTTTGAACAGCATAAATTTGAATTTTAATACATTGATTTTCAATTTATGACACAACAGCCAGTTTGAATAACTTTTAGATCATGATTTACACATTTTACAAGGTTTCGTTCTCTCTCATTACAATAAAAAAGTACCACTGTATTATCAGCAAATCTATAATACCTCGCCTGGAGATTGGCAGACTTGAGGCTCAGTACCTACATATAATGAATGAAGCAAGTGCCCAAGGACGAAGCCTCCAAGCACGAAGCCTTGGGATACACCTCAGTCATTTGATTAACAGCTACTAATTAAATTATCTATTTTTTCATATTGCCTTCTAATGATAAATAAAAACAACTATACAGTAGGTACATAATTTAAGTCCTTATTAGAAATACATTTAACTGAATTTTAAGTTTTCTTGCTACACACAGGTACTTTTTTTTAAAGTGCAATGGATTGGTGAAAGAGAATCTTGGAAACAAAAATTATAAAAAAAAAGGAATATGGTACCTAGTATCATTAGTTTAGTTTTGCATATAGGTACTAGATTTATTACATTGATTGCCTAATTTGAGTAAAACAATAAAAATTCTATAGCATAAACCGACAGAGTTGTTACGGTAGAATAAATTGTACCCAAAAGTTGTAAGTTAACCTTAAAGCATCCGGCAGCATTAATTGAAACTTGGCGCGACTTTATTTGGTCGTGTAGTTGAAGCAATGCAGCACGAATTTCCAAATGTTCAGCATCGAAAGTATCTGAGTTTATGTTGTCGAAACATATGGTTTTGGTGTTATTTATTTGGACTTCTATCTGGTGACCTCCGACTGCTAAGCGGATGGAAGTCATCTAAAAAAAAATATATATTAAACTATCACCCAGTTGACGTTTTGCCTATCTACATTTCTAACTAAACTTATATAACATCAAATATATAAACTGACTAGAACTTTGTGTAATCTGCACATGTAGGTGCCCTAGCTATTTTGAGAAAAAGGTAATATCCTCAATGGAGTACTGTGGGATCAAAATACCAACAGAACAAACCAAACTAGAACATCATTTCTACATAGATTTTTTTAAATAAAATCTTGACTCATAACTAATCAATTTAAGTAGGTACTTTTCTTGATATTTTGCCAACATTTTAGAAAACTGTTATAAATTTTCAATGTTGACAATTAGTGGGTGGCAATACTGACAAATTGCCACTTGTGGCGTATTAAAAATAAAGTGCGTGTTTTTATTTAGAGAGTTTTCTTTTTCATTTATTTTTCTCATACCTCAATACTCAATAGGTACTCTAAGGGCCGGTACTTTTGCCCTTTGTCAAATATTTGATCAGTGAACAGGCTATTAAATATTGATCAATGTTTAAAATGCTGATCAAAGTTATTTGGGTACTTTCGCTAAATTTGCCAGGGTCGTTAGTTAATCAACTCATATTTTCTTCTTCTTCTTTTTTTATCAAGTAAATTTTGGCTCAAAGACATTATGGAGCCAGGCGCCATCTATGATTTTATGCGAAATTAAAATTTGAATTTAAAAACTTCAATTCTACCGTTATTCCGCGTTATTCTACGTAAAAGCTCAACCACAAGCTCAACTTTTCGTTTTTCCTGTGTTAAAAAGTTAAATTTGTGTGAAATGGATAACGAAGACAAAAAAAAACGGGGTGTTAATTGGTCCAAAGCAGAAATAAACCTGTTTATGAATTGTTTACTCCCTCACATCAATGTAATCGAGAACAAACAGACTGATGGGGTATCTTTAAGAGAGAAACAAACAAAATGGAAAAAGGTGCATGAAAATTTTATTGCACAGAATACCGATCAGGCCAGGGACTTAACATCTCTTAAATTAAAATATGATAACATCAAGAGAAATTTAAAAAAGAAAATTCAAAACAATAAAAAGCAGTTGACAAAAACCGGCGGAGGACCACCACAGGAAGAACCACTCTTATGGTCTGAGGAAGCTTTATATCAGGTGCTTCAAGTGAGTATTGATGGGCTACCATCAGAAGGCGATTCCGATGCCCTAACGACCCCTTTGAAAAAAAATGACCCAAAACCCAGCACATCATATTCATTTCGCGCCTTGTTGGAAGATAATCCAGATGGTAAATATTAGATAAATTGGCTCGGAAATTGGATAATCTAGTCCCTTTGGAGGTTTGCTATTAATAAACAGTTATTGTTTTTCAGGGGAGGCATTAAGGACAGTCGAAATAGTCGAAATAGATGTCGTTTCTGATATTGGAGAAAGCTCTACCAGAGTAAGATATTAACTATTCCCTACTGTTTCTGTAATAACAAATTAGCTATTTAACTAAAATGTCTGTCTTTCACCGAACGACACGTAGCGGAGTTCGGTGAAGCAGCCGAGTGCGGAAAAAAAAAAAATTCGCAAGTTTTAGGTACAATAGTTTTTCTACAGACGTACGGAAATAAGTCTACCTACATAATTTGTTAACTTTTTTTTTGAAAGCTGTGCGGAAAAATTTTTCCTCATCGATATCTGTGCGAGAAAATCGATTTTCCGCACGCTTGAAGAAAATAGTTATTTAAACAATAACAAGTTTTGAAAACGATTTTTTCGCTCGGCTAGACAGTTTGTTGGGCCGAGCCGTAGGCGAGTTCCACAAGTCGAGCGAGTGTGAGAAAAGGTTTTCAAACGAGTTTTTTACAATGCTTTTCCTACAACTGCAAAAAAAATACAACCAAATATGTAATTTTGATTTGCCTAGGCCGGAAAAATGTTTTCTGTATTGTTATTCATTGATTCCTTAGCAACTATTGAAACATAATTAAAATACTAGAATATGGAGTTTTGCGACCTGTCAACCGGTCAAAAATGCTGATATTTCTTGTCAATTGCATAAAAAATCAATTTTTCTCACCGATACCAGTGCGGAAAATTAGTTTTCCTGCACTAGTGTGGAATAATTTTTCCGCACGGCTGTCAGAAAAAAATACTAATAAATTACTACAAATTATGTAGGTATGCCTGTAGAAAAACTATTGTACCTAACACTTGCGGAAAATGTTTTTCTGCACTCGGCTGGCTCGTGGAAAATTCATTTTCCCCACTATTGTTAGGTAAATAGCTAGTGAAAAACTCTATTTTCAGAGGTAGCTGTAGGAAATGGCTATTTACCTAACAAGTGCGGAAAATGAATTTTTCCGCACGCGGCTGCCGTTCACCGAACGACGCGTAGCGGAGTTCAGTGATGCAGCCGAGTGCAGAAAAATATTTTCCGCAAGTGTTAGGTACAATATTTTTCCTACAGGCGCAAAAATGTAAAAATTTTCTTTTTTTTTTTGACATATCAGTGCGGTAAAGTTTTTTCCGCACTGACAGCCGTGCGGAAAAACTTTTTCCGCACTGATATGTCAAAAAAAAAAGTTTTACCGCACCGTGCGGGCAAACTCATTTTCCGCACGCATATCAGTGCGGAAAAAGTTTTTCCGCACGGCGTTAGTGCGGAAAAAATTTCACCGCACGGCTGTCAAAAAAAAAATCTACATTTTTACGCCTGTAGAAAAAATAATGTACCTAACACTTGCGGAAAATATTTTTCCGCACTTGTTAGTTAAATAGCTATTTCATATAAATAATACAATTTTCTCACCAGTGGCAGTTACCTGAATAATCTATTGACCAATGTAACTTTTTTTAGGATGTTGATGAATCAATAATGCAGATCGAAAACGAAAATATGGATGAAGAGAATCAAGACCCAGAGGAGCATCCTGCAAGGGAATCAGTCAAATCAGCGGTAAGTACAATGAAGTAGTAAGAACGTTTGGAATGGCCCTTTGTCTAGGTACTCAATACCTACGTATATTTGCGGCCAACATTGGAGTTAGAGAAAGAGAGAAATCCATGAGATTTTCTGTCCTTACTAGCGCTACCTCGCTCAGGGTTAGAGTGAGAAATCCAGGAGATCCAATGGATTTTGTGCCCTTACTAGCGCTATCTCATCCTGGAATCAATGTAGTGGCGCAAAGCCCATTCCAAACATTCTTACTATTTTATTGGGTAAAGTATCAGTACCATTGTTACTGGTATTTCTAAAAACAGACTATGCAAGTTATTTGGTGAGTGGACCTAGTAACTTACAGAGAAGGTTTTTACGAATGAATAATGAATTATTGTGATTATCTAGTATTTATTTCAACTCGCTTAGCTAAAACTTGAAAAAATTATTTGCAGGCAAAATCAGGCTGGAATTTGAAAAGGAAAAGGACAATTTCGGCTGTTGATAAAGAAACTTCTCTTCACGCCTTCGAGGCATTATCAGAAAAAAAAACCGATTTAGCGTCGGAGCAGAAAAAATGCTTTGAAGTTGAGCTTCACATGAAGCTAGTAGAAGAAAAAAACCAAAAAGAGGAATGGGACATTAGAAGGGAAATCCTAAAAACGGAGTTAGAACATAAAAAAATCCAGCTTGAGGCTATGCGAGAGAAGAAAAAAACCAAAGCGACTAAAGAGGAACTAAAAATAGAAATATTGAAATGTCAACTAAATGAAAAATTGAATAATCTCACCAATATAAAATAATTATGTACAGAGTGTTTCCCCATATTTTGACAAAATTTTCCTGTTACAAAAATATATAGTCTGCCTATGTTTGGTTGGGCAGTCTCTTATATATTTGGCTGTAAAAATTGTGAGGATACTATCATCAAGATATTTTATGAACCATTCTACCTGTAAAGGTGAAAGCTGCAGGCTTGTGGCGCATGGTTTCTTTTTAAAATTTTTAAAGCCAAATATTTTGGAGAATGTTCAACCAAATATAGAGAACCTATATATTTTTGGAATCGGGAAATTATGCTTTTCAAGAATATGGTACCAAATATAGGCAATTCCACTTAGAAAAAGATAAAAAGTATAAAAAATTTCACATTTTCAATATGTGGAAACACCCTGTTTGCCTGTACATACATACATACTATAATATAAGTTCTAGTTAAGTAATTAATATATTTATTTGATAATTCATAATATATTTTAAAGTAAATAATGATTTTATTCACCAATGTCCTTTGTTTATTATGTTAGCTTATTTTCTCATTTTCCTAAGGGCCAAATTATGGACCAACTGGTAAGTGTCTGGTTGTTACCTAGCAGGTACTTTCTATGCACTAGAGAATAGAAAGTACCTGCTAGGTAACAACCAGACCCTTACCAGTTGGTCCATAATTTGGCCCTAAATAATTAACAAAATCTGCTCATGTAATAAGTCCCTTTATAACAAAGTTTGGAAATAATTTATATAGGTCTGGAGGACGTGATTATTTCGATTGTTAGCTGGTATAATGATATCGTCATTATCTAAAGGTAATGCTTCATTTTCATCTTGATTAGGATCATTCATTTGGTCCCTATTGATAACTGCAATGTTATGTAAAATAGCGGAAGCTATTATAAGCCTTTGCACTCGAGGAGTCTTGCATCTTATACCCATTTTGAGTAATGGAAATCTTCTCTTCCATATTCCTATGGTTCGCTCAACGGAAGTCCTAGTGGATATGTGAGCTCTATTGAAAAGTTCTTCAGCTGGAGTTCGAGGATTAGGAATCGGTGTCATCAAATAATTTGTAAGTGGATAAGCACTATCACCCAACAGGACACTCCCGTCAAATTCTCTATTCTCAAATCGCCCTTTAATCACTGAATTTCTGAAAATATGACTATCGTGTGCTGACCCAGGCCAACGAGCTACAATATCCATGATGTAATTACGGCTGTCAGAAATAATTTGAACGTTCATGGAAAAAAATCCTTTGCGGCTCCTAAAGACTTCTGCATTTGGACCTCCTGTAAAAAATATATATTTGGGTAGGAACACATTTTAAAATAATATAAGTAACTATGTAACTATTTTTAAGTCAAACTCAAAAATTTAATAAGCTATCAGTTTTTCTTGAAGAGTGAAAGATTCATGAAAATATACCTATGTAAGTGATTTTTTACCTCTCGATTGAATAGGCACATGGGTTCCATCGACTACTCCTATAACATTTGGAAATCTAGCTAAGGTATAAAACCCAGCTTTGGTGCTATTAATTTCCTCAACATTATTTGGAAATTTTATGTATGTTGGTCGAAGAGCTAAAATTGCATCAGTAACTCTTTCAAGAATTCTACCAGCTGTTGTCTTATGAATTCCGCCAAAATCACCTGTAGTGACATAAAACTGGCCAGTGGCATAAAAACGCAGTGCTATTAACACTTGCCCCATTGGATCAACTTCACGAGATCTAGAAAAAAAATCAGATCATAAAATTTGTTGTTGTTGTTGTTGTTGTTAGATCGAGCCAACAACAAATTCAATATTCATTTACTGATATAATAATGTATTATTTACTTACTGATGAGTATCATAAATCAAATTTTCTTCGATTTGGGGAAGTAAGTTCTGAACAGTCTGTTTTTTAAAACGAAATCTTTTGAAAAATTCATCATCATTCCATAATGCAAAATGATTGGGTCGTTCCCTAATAGTATATGTTCTTATATTTCTTATAAAATCTATAAGGTGCTCATCATTATCGTCAAACAACTCAATCAATTCATTTAAATCCATTTTTCACAATTTTCAGCAGCACAAACCACAGAACGTCTAATTTTCAAAAATAGATTATAAAATTATAGGTTAGGAAACCTCCGTTATTTTGAATAACCGCTGCTTCAGTTCGCCGTCAAATTTAACAGAGGCCAGGACCGAACTTAACCATGATTAAGGTTTAATCGACACCAAAAGTACTGCAAAATGGCTGGTTATGCCTGACCACATATCAAATCGATTTAGCCGGCTATCAAATTTATTTGACGAAGAGCAAAAGTACCGGCCCTAAGTGTTTCAAAAGTATTTTCACCTCGATTTTTACCTAAGGGTGCGGAAAATTCTATTTTCAGTTGCTTTTTCCAAGTTAGCTTATTTGAAAATAAAAGTGTCGTCGCAGATTACCAATGTTCTAGTCATTTTGCATGAACTCTTGTAAATGGCCTGTAAAATATAGAATATTTATGATTTAAAAAGATTGTTATTGCATCCCATGCTAATTCTATTTCTTGGTTTCTGAAAAACGACTTTTATGTTATACAGCTTCAAAATGATTATTTGCAATACAGTAATAAATTTAAAGCATATTTGATTCACGAGCAAATGGACTGGTGCTATTTCAATATTCAAATGTGTCTGGTCCATCAATTTTTTTATACAGGGTATATCAGGTTTGACTACAAAAAATTTTACACGTGAAAATATGGCGCATTTTGAACAAAACAAGTTTATACAACATGGGGTCCAAAGTCAACCATTTTCAAGAAAAAGGCCTTTGAGGTTTTGACATTTTTTGACGAATATTTGAGAGATCAAGAAAATTTTAATCAATATGAGACGTAAAAAAGTTTCGTTCATTCAATAATAAAAAATTGAAAAAACAAGACAACGTTACTCGTAATTTCATATCTAAACATCTGAAAACATAGCACAAGAAAAAATAGATGGTTGAACCTTGGTTGAACTGATTAATTGATTCTTGATTTGTCTTGTCATGACAGTTAGTGGGAGTATTAGAAACGTGCGTAATTCATTCTTTTTTGAAAATAAAATGTTCACTAACGTCGAATATGCAGATATGTTATTTGTTTAAGCAGAATTGTTATGATGTGCTCGTTTTACAAAGATTGCGTGATACGGAAAGTGTGAGTGTGCAAAATCATCGTGTTGATTTTAGTGTTTTGAGAACCTTTCAGCACAAATTAGTATTTTCATAATAAGGATTTGGCAAGTAGCTAGTAAGTATTATTTAGTTTTTCTCTTGAATGTTTAATGCAATTCACAACTCAATAAAACGGCACATTTTTTAAATTTTTACTAGAAAAGTGATTGCAATATATTTACATTATTTGAGAGCCAGTCTAGGAAAATAGTCGAAAAATATATGCATTCCAAAAAAAAAATTCCTACCCAAATGAATTTTCTGGGATGATAGGGGGCGGGTGGGTGATCATAAAACCGAAAATATCAAATATCCACCCCTCTGGCGTTTGGCGCTATAGGGGTTGAAAGTGCGCCATTGGCGATTACTTGGTATCTATTGATTTTACAAAAAAAATGTTTCAAATAAAAGATGTGCAACATTATTTGATCTACAATGTTTATCTAAAGACTTTTTTGATTAAGGGCTGTCTGTGGTCATAAGGGCCGTTTGAAATTTTATAAATTTAATTTACCAGTTTTATTTATATTTATATCATGGGCAGAGATAATATCTGTACAATGTTGTCACGTTGTTAACATTTTTCGAAATTTAAATTCTGCGATAATTCCGAAAATACTAAAAACTGAACCATGGTTAATAGGACAGTATTAGCTTGAAATGAGCCTATTATCTCATGTTAAAATATTTGTACTCATACCTGATAAACCCTGTAGAGCAGTACCTACTAATGTACTTCAGGCTTTATAGGATAATTAGACTTAAACTTACTAAATATACTGCGAAAGTAACAACATATATGACCCAAGTCCAGTATTTAATATCGGCACCATCTAGTTTACTATCTCTAACCGAAAATTCAACAAGAAGATTAATTCGATACAACATTCCAGAAATAATATATAAAATAAATAGCAACATTATCGGACCAAAAGTAATGTTGAACTTTTCTAAATAGTCCAATACTTCGTTATATTTTATTATTATGTATTTTAGCGTTTTTAAATGTGATTTTTCGCTTTTTATGTTGGATGAATCTTTCACTAGAATATTATTGAGGTCAATAAGAGTACTTGCGACCCTTTTTATTAAAAATATTAAGCGATTTATAAGCAACGCTAAAACAGTAAATAATATATCGCGAATCAAGTAATATTTATAGAAATACCATCCTATAAGAGAAACGCAAAACACAAGATCCAGAATATCAACGAGGAAAACAGCTAATAGACAATACGATAACCCGTAAGAGTAATATTTAAATATTTCTTCCAATAATGGAGTTTTAGTACATCTTGGCGGCAGGGAACAATAGGGAAAGCTGTTGTTAGTATTGAGTGAAAACACTGCTGCTATCATAGCTCCAAAAAGCAAAGTTTGGGAAGCATGATCTGTGATTCTTATCACGGTGGGTATGCCTAAAGTGCATAACATTAGTTCTCTTCCTCGAGTAGAATACGCGTAAAAGAATAACATTGATAATAGCACTGAGACTTTGAAGTAATTAATAATTATTTGTTTCATTATAACAGAATATTTGTAGACTAAAACTATGTGTTCGGAATTGCCATTGAATGATTGTTCGATATTAATAGTATTACATCGTTGAATTATGAATGATATCATAGCAATTTATTAAATATCAATCATGATGGTTATCTAATATTTCATATACATTGTAGGTAGATAACTTAGATAAGAGAAAGATAAGGGAAAGATGAAGTGAAAGGATAGTAGGATATATAGTTCAAATAAGTTTTCCACAGGGTGTCCCGCAGTTAGTGCGAAAAATTGAGGTTGAGGTTTATTTGAGTCAAGGAACCCCTGTCCGAGAATGTGCCGTTTCGGCAAGAGAGTAATTGAGAGAAAATTGCACTAGTATAATTGGACCATGTGCCATATATCAACCGGCGCGATCCCTAGATCCACAAGAAATGTTTTCGCTGGAGCCACGTGGAAACCTTGGTCTCCGAGGAACCGTTCCAGAATGATGAGGAACTGCTAGCAAGAATAACGGCATGCATATACCGGGCGTATACTTGGTTCGTATGAGCATGATCAACCGTGCATTGAAAAAATTGACGCTTCTCTGTGAAGTTTCTGTATTTTTTTCTTAAATTTAAGTCTATTGCCAAAATGGCACATTCTCGGACAGGAGTTCCCAGACTCGAATGACTTGTTTTAATACCCTCTACGACCCGCGCTTATTGTGGAACACCGTGTATAACGTGCAAATCAGAAAATCAATTTTATCAATTATATCTACTGATAGTACACTAAAATGAAGAATTCGATAAAAAATTACATTAATATGCTGCGAATCGGTCTTAGTGTTAGATTTCACTACGATCTGTCTCATGTCCTGTAATAAACTTCAACCTCCACCTTTTGTCGTGAAATGAAAACAATTATTCTGTAAAAAAATACTTAACCATTTGGTTTTGCAATAAGCGTCTCAACTTAAGATCCAAATGATGACAAAAAAGGAGGGATCAGCTAAATACTAACAAACATACATCAACCAGACAAATTTACTTTGTTATAACTCGAGAGAGCACGATTTCTTCTTCAAAAAAATAAGCTGGAAACAACGTTTGTGCTCGCCAAAGACCAACGTGACGTGAAAGTCACCAGAGCTATAAACCATACTGATGCAAAGAATCAACGGGCTTTATTAAAAAATAACATCAGGATAGGGCTTCGCAAGACCAAGACCAAGACTCGCCAGTCTTGGTCTTGGTCTTGATAGTCTTGAAAAAAAATTATACCAAATTTTTAAAATATACATAACATATACATAACGACAGCGCAGAGATAATGGGGTTTAGGACTTCAGAAATAGAAAATAAATCTCCCTTTCTCTTTCTGAAAAAATTATGCCGACGTTTCGACCATGGATTTGGTCTTCTTCACAGGCTATTTTTACCAACAAGATCGTTTCATGTCAAAAAATACCGTATAAAGCATTCCATAACACAGAGGAACAAACAAATATCAATTATTATTCTAAAATTAGAATTTTAATTAACAGAAAAAATGCTAAAAATTATAATACTTATAAGTTACAAAACAACTACGATTGACTTCCATTACACTATGTTGTATTTTTAAAACCTATAATACCTTCTCGTGAATTTGAAAAAATAATAAAGATGAATTGATTTAATTAAAAGACATTAAAAGTAGGTAGATATAGGAATTTGCATATTTTTATAAATATTGAGTTGATTTTTTTTTTTCAAGACCAAGACCAAGACGAGAGTCTCGAGAGAGAGTCTTGGTCTTGGTCTTGAACGTCAAGTCTTGGTCTTGGTCTTGAGAAAATTTATTAGGTCTCGGTCTTGGTCTTGGTCTTGCTACCAAGACCAAGACTAGTGTCTTGTGGTCTCGCGAAGCCCTACATCAGGATTGGTTTGAAAAAAGAATAGTAAATATCTGGTAAAACGATCCAAATGCAGCGCACAGAAATATGTATCTCCAAGCAAAGGCTGGAAGAAGAAAAAGAATACTGAAGAAATAATGGTGGACGACGAAGTCAATCGAATTGGAACATTTAGCAGCCTCTTGCAATACCAGCTGCAACAACATAGAGAAGAAATTTCCTTTCCATGATAGAAAATCGATGGAACGGAACTCCCTATCTCCATTCGGCTAGAATCGCTACTCCGAACTACCTGGTCGTGTCAAAAGAAATAGAGACCCTTTCGGTCTTGCTGTTTTTCCTTTTCATTCTATACAATCATAATTGACGTATGTCCTTCTTCGCCTAATTTTTTTTGAAAATTTGATTTTTTGTTTTGATTTGTGATTGAAGAGTGACATAACTTTGTTTGATATAAGGCCTGATCCGCACAGAAATCACAAACCAGTCAGAGTGAATTTTATTGGTTGGAAACTAGTTTTCTGACTGTCAATCAATGAAATTCGCTCTGACTGGTGACTGGTTCGTGATTTCTGTGCGAACAGACCTATTGGCGACTGATGTTGACGGGAATAGCATTCTGTGAATCTGTGATTCTGTGGGAATAGCAGTAAAACTGCATAAATGGGAGGAATTAAGAAATCATTTAACTATGAATTATACTATGGGATCTAGAACAGTGGAGAAGTGTCAAACGGTACATATTATACAGACGACATAATTGAGAATTCCTCCATATTAAGGAATCATGACTGGCACCCCCATAATTCGCATTTACATTGAGAATAACTTTTCTCTTTTACGTCCTTTTCTGCTCGGGTCATCGGATGGGAACCTTTATCGAGCCTGGTGTAATGGTTTCAATGGATATACACCTCCGAAAAAGCTCAATATGCAAAGACAAAATGAATAAATGGAAATAATAACATTGACAATCAAAAATAAACTGTCAATAACACCGGTGTTCAGATCACAGTTTTATTATTAGAATTTTTAAATGGAACTGCAACGCAGTATTTGGACCGGCCTGCGCGCTTTTATAGTGTCCTGCAATGTATGTATTTTAGAGGAAAAAACCAGTAGTTTGCTGGTATAATTGCCAAAGTAGCATGACCAGTTTTGTCAAGTTTTTGAGAGATTGTCATTAAATTAAATTTTGAAACGACAGGGTTTCTTTCTAAGTTCCTCGTCCCTCAATCATCTCATTGCAGCACGAAGTTCATGTTCGTCCAGAACCATTAGGGAACTGACGGCAAAGGAACACAACAACCGGTATATTATTGGAAATCGAAAAAATCTTAAATCTTTCACAATGTTTTCAGATTAGTTAGAACGCATTTCTTTATAAACGAACTTACTCGAGGATTCCACGAAAAAGTCATACATAGTAGCATTTGTCGATAGAAAGAAATGTCTTTTCTTTGCTATTATTTTTCTATTTCTATTTCTATTGAATTAAAGAGTTGGACTACAGAGTCTTCTTCAGACCCGCAAAAGCCACCTATATTTTCTTCAAAAGATCCAAATGATCGAAGATCCTCCTTCTTAATAGTCCAGCCTCTATTAGCTCCCGACGGAAGAAGCATTTTCAGGAACTACTTAAAACAGAAGCCCACTAAACTATTTGCAAATGCCCTAAACATGGCCAGCTAACAACTGCCCGACTAGTAACCACGTCCAGAGGGGCACTCCAAACATTTGAAACATAACAAAAAAAAATATACTCAATCTTGCCACGTGGAATATTCGTATACTTATGGATACCAGTACAAATACAAGACCACAGCAAAGAACGGCAATGGTGGCAAGAGAATTAAAGAGATTTTATATCGATATTGCAGCTTTAAGCGAAACCAGAAGAGCAGGCGAAGGTCAACTCAAGGAGCACAGAGGCGGCTATACGTTTTTCTGGAAAAGAAAGGAAGAGAAGGAATATGCGAAAGACTGATGACACTGCGACTAAACCTCAGCAACAATCAACAAGCTACGCTAATCAGCGTCTACGCTCCAACCCTCACAACTGACGATTAACCAAGAAGAGGAATTTTATGCTCAACTTAGTCAAACCATGTCACATGTACCTAGATCTAAAAAAAATTGTTCTTTCAGGTTAATTTAACGCCCGGGTCGGTACAGAGTCAGATCTATGGAGAGGCGTGATCGACAAGGAAGGCGTCGGAAAAATGAACTCGAACGGACGCCTACTAACCAAATGCTCAGAATATGACCTTATAATAACAAATACACTTTTTCGACAAAAGAATAAATTCAAGACTTCCTGGCAACACCATAGGTCAAACCACTGGCATCTAGTTGATTATTTATAATTGAACGTTCTAGAAAATGATGTACCTATGCATTACGAGAGCTTTAACAAGTGCGGATGACTGCTGGACTGACCATCGGCTGATACGAGCCAAAATTAACTTGCGCATACCATCAAAGCGTAGATGTCAAAAAAAACAGTTCAAATACAAATTTAACATAGAACTTCTTCACGGCGATCAAATCGGGACAAACTTTCAAGTCTCTCTAAGCCAGAAACTTCCGTTAGAGTACCTGGGAAGCATTGAGGAGCACTGGAAAATATTGAAGAACGCAATAACATCTGCCTCTGAAGAAACGGTCCGCTACATACAAAAGATATATCAAGGTTTGATGAGAGCGACACTGAAATTCAAGATCTTAAAGATAGAAAAAGAAGAGGGCATGGTTGACGAGCGACCCCAGCTCGACTGTAAAAAAAAGGCAATACCAACAAGCAAAAGCAGAAGTTCAAAGGCAAACGCGAGCATTAAAGAACCAATGGTGAATAACAAAATCAAACGAAATGCAGCAACAAGCTGAATCCAACAGAACCAGGGCCTTCTTTCAACCACTCAAGAACTCAATCCCTTACGATCCAAAGATGGCACAAGACTGCTTAAAGACAGTTCTTCCATTAATTCTCGTTGGAAGGAACACCATAGTTGCCATTTTTCAAAAGGGAGGCTCAATGTAGAAACTACAGAGAAATATCTTCACCTTCTGTTGCGGGAAAGATACTTGCCAGAATATTATCAAATCGTGTAGTCCTAACTGCCAATCAGAACCTTTCAGAGACACAGTGTGGCTTTAGACTCAACCGAGGTACATACATACAGCTGACATGATTTTCAGTGCAAGCGAATGCAAGAGAAATCCAGAGAAAAAAATTGCCCTCTATACATGGCCTTCATAGATTAAGTGAAGCACTTGATTCGGTCAACAGCGGTTTGGAAGATATTGGCAAAGGTTGGGTGAATTTTGCATAAAAACTCATCCCCCTCAAATTATAGTTGACAGGTTTCAGGTCATTTCAGGAATTTTTTCGAAACTTTTTCAAACTCCGAGGGGTGGTAAGTTTTAAAATGAACACCCTGTATAGTGGGCATATGCTCATAAAAAAATTGATTTTTTTATAGGAATATGAAAAATCGTGGGAGACAACTATAATTTACCAGTTTTTACGTCCGATTCCAAAAGGGCGAAATCTGCTTTCTTCACTTATTTGCTCTGATTTCAATATAAATCTAGATAATAATAAGATGTTCAACTTACTGCGTACATACCAAACGTAGATGAATATATTGCCAATATCCAAATTTTAATATTGTTTCCTTCCACAGCAGTTCCTCTGATGGAAAATTCTGTTACCACGCTTATACAGAACAATATTCCCGATGCAAAATGCATAACTGCCACTATCAAAAACGGCCCAAAAATAGAATTAAATTTATCAATATAGTCCATTGATTCTTGATAGCTCATACCAATATACCTTAGAGTTTTTAATGGTTGGCCGTATCTTCTTATTTTTATTGGTTTGATTTTGTTCATTTTTACAAGAATATGGTTTAGATTCATTAATGTATTTTCAATGATTTTTAGTAAAAATATTAAACGATTGATAATAACACCGAAAATAGTAAATAAAACGTCACGGTATAAGTAAAATTGGTAATATCCCCAGCCGAAAACTGTTAAATAAAATAAAATGTTTGATAAAATGGTAACAAAAAATAATGGAATCAAAAATGATTCTATCTTATAATACTTTCCATCAATCAGTTTAAAATGCGTTTTTGGCGGCAGAGAAACATCCTTTTGACGAATTGAAAAAAGGGCAATAATAACTGCTCCATATAGTATCGTTTGTGCACTTTGATCTGTAATCCTAATGATATAGTTTATTCCAACATAAACTTTTGTTGTTCTTCCATAAGTTGAATGTACATAACATATGAGAATCACGATTAGTAAAATAACTCGAACTATTCCAGTAAATATTCGGTTCATTATTGTTTGATCTTCCTCGAAACCTTTGAGAATATTTATACAACTATACACTCTCCTTTATTATACAGGTTTATTACTAATAAACTATAAATGCTGGGACAAAATCATTTGGCCTAATACCATATCACTTTAATTTAGTATTTATTAGAATAATAACATACACAAGGGGTATAGTGAACGGATCAATAAATAGTAAATCTATTTTTTCAGAACGAATACAGACTAATGATAATAGCTAAGCTAAGGGAGATTTGTAATTTTACAAATTAATAGTTTTTCATCAATCACTAATCCAGAAATCTCGGAGGAAAATCAGTAAATTACAGTTCCTACATGGTATTACATTTGATTTTTGACCATAACACCAAACATGATTTTTACTGACAATTACTTCTATCATTTATCAACTCCGCGGTGGTTTAACTCATTGGAAGAGAAACTTTATGAAAGCACATATGCATAGGCCAAATAAAACTTGGAAGAGATTTGCCCATTTCGATCGAAACTGTATTTGGCTGGATAATGTCTGTCACAATCGTATTTCCACCCATATTTCGAACCATAAGTCTTAATTAACTTAATTTTGAGATATAGAGACGCAATCAAGATGACAAAATTCCCGGCCATAGTCGACACTGGAGCCTAAAATAACGTTATTCAATAATGGCAAAGTGGACAAGAGATAATAGCACGGTCCGAATTAAAACAGGAGGACATGGAATCCCAATCCTGGCAGAAATCAAAGTAGGTCTTAAAAGTGATACATAATAAGATTAATAAGGATTAAAATTAGATAAGCTTATCGTCAAAAAAGACCATGAATCAATAATTTTGCTCAAAAATTGGGCGGTACCTAAACGTTGACATTCGATCACTACTTAACAGGGTAAAATTTCCAAAAATCGAAAGGTATCAAACTCTTTGTTGATCCAATAAACGGATAAAAAAATTGGACCCAACCCATAATTATTTGGTTAGAAAATCAAAGATTCCAGAAAGATAATACTTAGACGAGACCTTGACCAAACTCAACGATCCATTGGAATTAAACCTTCAATAAACCGGGTATAAGACATAAGTGATATAAATACTTGGGAAAAAGCGAGGAAGCCCTAATATTAATCGAAATTATTTGACGTTTACAAAAGTAGATCTTTTCGAAGATTCTCAATTTCAGAAGTCTAAGTAATGCTAAGTATGCTATAACCAACGATTTGTGTGCAAAGGACAACAATAAAGATTCAAAGCATCTAAAACTGACCCAAAGAAGGAAACAAAGAAGCGACCATTGGAGGTATAAAACTCCAAATAGGTAACCAGCCAGCGACCTAAAACGTTAAATTGAAAGAAGTTGAATCAGAAAACTTGGATGCTGACTATTCCTGAACGTCTGAGGAAGATTGTGTCAAAGAAAAACCAGACGGCAGGAAGTTGCAAGGTTAATAACAGTTAAGTATGTGGATAAAAAAAAAGACAATAAAAGGCCTTTCAGTTGTCGGTAATTTTCAGGCTGGATGACTTTAGGTCTTTAGGCGTAGTTCCCACAAAACAATTTTGTTCTGGAAGATTATACAAAAGCAGATAAAAAGTTTTTTTCTAGATCGAATCCGGCCTGATGTATCCTCTTTTGTTACCTATTTCACTAGGTGTGTAAAGTTTAAGATTTATACCTGTCAGTTCCGATATATAGAATAAATAGTGACAGGTAACTTAACGGTGATTAACTTCATCAATCAGTTAAAGATTATAAAAACCTGTTTGCATGGTAATGCTTATTGGAGTTGAAATCCTATGGTCGCAGGTTCGTCACTCCCTCTTGTTCGTTCTTGCCATGAGTTGAAATAAAAAATAAAGCACCCACATTTTTATTTTCTAGTACCCTCAATAACCCAGAATATTATTCAGTATCAGTAAAGTAACATAGTTGAATACACTCGACAATATTGATTAAGTATCGTAAAAATAAGCTTACCTTGTTTCACGAAGGTCTGGTCATAGAAATCAGGCAAATATTGACGAGAACCGTCACTAGGGTTATTGGAAGGCACCATAGGCTGTAATACATGATGGAAATTAAAAGGATGTCTTGATAAATTTCACAAAAAAATACAGCATACTTAGCATTGTCCAGGAAATCTCGAGTTCACAAGTAAGGGTGGGTATTATAAAACTATTTTGACAGTTAACTTAAAAGTTAACTTCGGGAATGACGTTACTTCCCATAGTAACTCCACAAGTTAAGTTTTTGCTATCTGTCAAAATAGTTTTATAATACCCTCCCTAACTCTATAACTACATACTTATAGGACTTTTCGCTACTCTTGAGTTATAAACAGTGGCGTATTTTAAAATTTGGCGCCCTGGGCCTTTAAGGTTTGCCGCCCTAATGTAACAAAAAAAAAAAAATAATGAAAAAATATCGAACGAAAAAAGAAACGCTATTTAATTATTGAATATTTTTATATGTATTTTTTGCGATACACAAATTGGTTGGCGAATTCGTCCAATGATAGGTCTGTTCTCTCAAGAGTCTCTGACAGTTTGCAACCTGTCAGAAACAATCGCTCAGCCAAGTTACCGATTTATCTTGGACCAAAGGCATTAAAAACATGTATGGGTGATGTGCTCGTCACAGTTTGCAAACTGTCAGACACTCTTGTGAGAGCAGAACAACTATTGACACCATCATAATTAACAGATTTTGTCTAGTGGCCTCTGTATCAAGAATGGATGAACTGTTCGGTCTTCGCTTATACAGGAACGAAGATAATTATTTATTCTTTCATCGGGTGATCGGACGGTCGCCGAATTCCCCCATTTCTTGTAATGTTATCAATTGAATAATAAGTTTCAGTTTTGTTTTGTTGGTAATTTGGTAGCAATCCTAAGCACTGGGGACGTGGCTTGTTTCGCCCCTTGCAGTCCTACCACCCCGGGCCATGGCCCCCGTGGCCTTATGGTAAATACGCCACTGGTTATAAATCAACATAATTAGACTTAACTCAATATCAAAAATAATGACATGACCTGATATGCTAGAAGTGACTGTACAACAAAACATTATTGAAGCTCCCCGTAAATTTCTATATTCAATCTTTCTGACTCTATACGTACACTGAAGTTTCTACTTCTACTGTATATTGCTGATTCTGTAGATTTCGCGAAAACCTTATTCGCAATTGGTTCATGAATTTCAGAACCATCAGGTGAATTTTTATTTCCGACAACTTGATTGGGTTAGTTAGTAGATTCGTTGCCAAGGTTCTTTCGGAGTTTCTCAGCAATAAAACTGAATTTTAACACTTGCATGTTGCATTAATTGACAGTTTCGACTCTTCTTTGCCATCTCTTCGATGTCCAAATCAAATTTTGGCCACCAAACAAACGATCTGGCAAGAGCATCCATTCCGACTATTCCGTTGTGTTGTGTGCTTATTTTTGTGCCGGTCAGTAGAAATTTGTACACGTTCCTTAATATGATGTCCTCTTGAGTTTCATTAAAACAATCTTACGATGTTTTACTGGCCGTGTTAGAGGTTGTTTCAATTAATTAATCGTAACATATTCCATAGTATACTGCTATGTAGGCCTCTTTCCTCACTATTATATCTTGTGGGGGAGGCCCAACATGACCTCCATTGCGGCGGTTGGACAGGTATCTTTGCTACTGTAATTTCCAAAACCTTTGTATAGTTGCCATTGTTGTCAATCCGTTTTGCGCTGTCTGTTGTTTCACTTTTGGCCACCATACTATCGCGGCGTGAGTGACTATGGGTCTTATAACTATTGTAAATAACCAATAGATCATTTTTGCTTTAGACCCCAAGTCTTGCTGAATAATCTCCGGCATGACCAGTATGTGGCTATTGCCCGGTCGGTTACTCTTTTAAGATGTTGGTTCGAAGTAAGTTGCTGGTCCAATATGACTTCCGCCACTATGTGAGGGCCAGATATTTTGTCTGAGGGGGGCCATGCAGAAAAAAATATATCTAGGAATAAACAGGTTGTCCAAGATAAGGATGTCTATCATGGGGATCTCGTAAACGGTAACAGATATGGCAATCGTTAAATGGGAAAAAAGTTCCGCTATTCAATGACTAACAAAGTGCATCTTAAATTTTTTTAAAAAATTGACAATTTCCCGAGATATTCGAAAAAAAAAAAACGAAATTTTCCGAAATTGTTTTTATTTTTTTCTGCCTTTATGTTAGAAAGTATAAGCAGTATTATTGGAGCTACTTTTTATGCCTTACAAGATGGCATAATTAGATTTAGGATCTGACGTTTCGTTTGCAGGTTACCATCATCAACTTTGTTTTTTTTGATACGGTCCTGTTCTACAAATTACAGTTTTTTTTAAGGTTTTTTTACTTCTCTTTGCGATAATGTATCAGCTGTGATGATTCAATTATATTTTATAGAATAAAGACAATTTCTGAATTTCGGGTTTTTAATAGATATATCCCGAAGTTCTCAGAATTTTTTAAATTTCATGTTAGGTATGCATATTGATAGTCATTAAATAGCGCAAATTTTTTCACATTTAAACATTGCCGTATCTGTTACCGTTTACGAGATCCTCATGATAGACATCCTTATCTTGGAAACCCAGTACACAGACCCACTTTCCTTTAATGTTTTTATGATATAAGCAGTTGCGCCAGTGCTCCCAGGTATTAAATTTCACTTGCGGAGTTCATCTGTATCCCATTTCAGGTTGGGGCTTCTAGATTTAGCCTCTTTTTCCTTGTAAAAGCTAATTATGGTTTTGTTGGGGTTGAAGCTTAAACCCTCCTGTAGACACCATCTAATAATGACATTTAGGGCATTTTGCATGAGGTCACTGATGATCCTGTTATGCTTACCCCTAATGATGACTGTGAAACGTGTGCATATCCTAAGACTGTGATCCCTTGGGTGCTTGGCGCGATGAGAAGTTCATCTACTACCAGTGTGGGGACCGTACACCCCCTTGGGAGCATCCCTTGACTGCTGAGACCGTTGCAGTCACTTCCAATAGTGGCTTTGATTTTCCCATTCTCAAGCACGGCTTCAATCCATACAATAATTGTAGTTTGGTCAAAGCCCTTATTTCTAGCCGCTGTTCTTATGGATTCATGTGATATCGAAATGTGTTCTTATGGATTCATGTGATTATTATTATTATTATTATTATATCGAAAGCTCCCCCTATATCAATGAATGCGCAAAGAGCGGTTGTGTGTGCCGTTTCAATCTTAGTGACAAGACTGTGTAAGGCTATCTCAGTTGATTTACCTAGCTGAGAGGCAAATTGATTTTTTTGGAGCAGGCTTTCCATCAGGAATTCACTCCTGATGTGTCCTATAGTTTTCAGGAGAAATGAGGTTAGGCTAATTGATTTTTGATAGGTGTGATGCTAATTCTCCCGGACCCTGTTGTAGGCGGGCGGGAAAGATCCCACCTTCACCTGGTGGTTTGTAGGGCCGGAAGCTGTTCATTGTGTTCATAGCCCATTTGAACTTATTGTTGTAAATATCCTTCCGGCTAGGCTTTTAGTGCAGTGGGTCAGTCAGTCAGTCGCGGAACGCCTTTTACCACCATAGTTCTTTTTGCATTAGGTTGCTACTCGATAGACTCTGAAAAGTGTGTTTACAGAAGCAGTTTTACACTATCCAGTTTGTTTTCGATGTAGCTGCCATCAGATCTCTGAAGGAGCCCTGGACTGTTTGAGGAATCTATTGATAGAGTTCTTTGGAGGCGCATTATCAGAGGGACGCCGGTCATCTCCTCGCAGAATCTCTTCCAGGATTCTCTTTTAGATCTTCCCAGGTGCTTTCCGTTCTTTATACGGACCCCAGTCGGTAAGTTTTGGGTTTCGATAATCAAGAAGGCATTCTTCTGTAACCTCTATGTCAAACCTGAAGTGTTTATGGTCCGACATTGAGCTTTCATCAGAAACATATCAGCCCTTTTTTCGGTTGCCTACAGTTATGCTGGCGAGGGTTAAATCCAACATCCCTTGCCGCAAACTATTCGCAAAGTTGGGTTTGTTTCCTTTATTGATAATGTCTATGGCATACGAGAGCAAATATTCAATAAGGTACTCACCTGTTTTGTTGCTAGTTGGTTATTCTTTCTGCTGCCCCATACAGTGTGATGAGCATTGGCATCACACCCAATTAATAATTGTTTCTTCCTGGTTGTACAGTAGCTAATGAGTCGTTTAACGTCCTCGGGAGGTGGATTTGTTCTGTCATAGCCAGGAAAGTAGGCCGAGGCATTGACTACGTCCTGGCGTTGATACCTCTATTGCTCCAGCAACCAGATATTTTGT